CAGTGTTCTCCTCCTTACCCACAATTCCTCACAGCTATTGTCAAACCACCATCTTTCCTCCCTGCATATTAAAAACACAGCGTGTTTCAGTTTTCTGTCCAGGTGGTTCGCAGCCTCGCTTCCTACCGCATCACCTCACATCTGCTTCGCTGAGCCATGGATGAGCAGTTGTACAAGGGAGGATGGGTCAAGGATGTGAGCGATCTGATTGGCTGGCAGACCATGGTGTGTGTGTGGGAAGGTCCCTTTGGTAGGCTCCCTGCGAACGGCTATGCTCGATAAGGGTGGTCCTTCACCTCCTTTCCTCTTCTCCCTGCTTCATCAGCCTCCCTCCCCTGCTCTGCTGCCGTTCACTCTCTCTGTCTCTCCTCCTCCTCTCATTCCCTGTCTGCGCTACAAGCTGCAGGCACGCATTCGCGCTCCTCGACCAAAGCGTCGCAAGGTCTGTGTGTGGAGCAAAGTCAGTGGCACGGTGGCTGCATGCACACAAATACACACATGAATATGGAGAAGAGATAGCAACTACGTCATAATTCATAGCATCTTATAGACATAACTACCCTGGCAAAGTGCATGACCTATATTCACCAGAAAAACACTTACATCATTATCATCTTCATCATAGCCATTTGGATGTACTGATATGAGTGTCATATGAGTATCATGTGTGCAGCTGAAACTGGACTGGAATGAATAATTAGGAAAGAGGAATCAGATACAACTGACAAATGAGATAAGATTTGACAAACAACAAAGATGTAGATGTACCCATGTATGGCTTAAAATGGGAAATTGTAACCTTATAAATTGCACTAACTGTACCATTAGATGATCATATTAGCGCTGAAATAATATAACCTGAAGAAAAAAATAACAAAATAAAAAATAAAGAGAGGAAACACATCATTTGAACCTACAATGTAACAAGATATCTCTGTTTAAGAATAATGACAATTATGAGGAATGTTTTTGATCTGGCTTTGATAATAATTAAGTCTAAATAATTAACATGTTATTTGGGCATAGCGAGGCTGAATTATGCTTGACTGTACTGATTTATCCTTTCCTTGTTCGCAAGTCATCTGGAAACAAGAAATTGGGAACTCGTCTAATTTGTGAGTATCATTTACCCAATATGTTGGATCCTTGCTTTTTCCGAGGCTCCTGCACAAAGTAAAGAGTATCAGATTATGCTGACCTCCATCACTGGAAGCTAATGTCTCAAACCACAGACGATGATCGATAATCCAGCAATTGAGATGGCGGAAGAGCAATGCGGACATTAGAACCGAGACAGAATAGACCTTTGGACAGAAAAGGCAGAAGAAGGAGAAGCAGCAGGACTCTATGATAGTCATTGTAAGGACAAGATCAGTTACTGTCACTCTGTTCAACTCAGCAGCCATTTGTTTTATCAGCCATTAAATACATCAGAGCTTATTTCTGCCTTGTAGACACACTGGCAACAACTCTTCTTTTGAACATGCAAACTAGTTTCCAAATGCACTTGCCTCCTTCCCACTTTATCAAGCCAGATGGCTTTTTGCATGCATTATTTACAGTATTGATATTGTGCAGTTTGTTTGACTCATGACCACTGAAATACCTGCAGCGGGGTTAGAAGGGGTACATGCAAGACAGGGGTGACTTAACATTATGTGCCTTGTAGATCCAGCAGACACAGTATATTCACATATTGTTGATAATGTAATATGAGATGGGTATGATATTTGGGATTTTGATTACTGTAATATAGATCTTAAATGTCAATTTCATGTCTTAAGGGTGCACGACAGTTATAGTTCATTTTTGTTAGCGTGAGATACCATAATGGATAAACCTGCTTGGCCATCATATCAAAAACTTATAATTACGATGTGCTGTGTGCTCAATATTGTGCATCTGAATGAGGTGGACTTCAGTTTCCAAGTCATATATTTATGCTGCTGATTTCATCTAAAAGAGCTTTGCTCACTGTTAGAATATGAGCAGCTCCACATATTTGATTTATTATTTATATATTTATCTTAGATAACCCTTTAAAAATACAAGTTCTGCTCTGATGACATTTTAACTCACTCATTTTCTCTCACTATACTTTTCCAATTTGATTACACCCTGTTAACTGTACCTGCACCGCCCTCTAATGGAGGTGTTAACTCCATGGCAAAATTTATAATTTAAGCAGTATTTTAAAATAATGCAGATGGTTGCTCTTAAGTATGTGTACTTTCTTGTTATGAGGAGGACAGTATGAAAATTCACTCCAGTCATTTTCAGTTCCAGATTACACAGCTGCCACCATCTGAAAAGCAACGTGTTAGAGTACGGAGATTAGACTGAACAACATAACGTGTTAGTGTTGCATTTAAATAATCAGTTATTCAGTTACCTTTTCAAATAAGCAATCATTTACTGTTAAAAGGCTAACTTATTTCCCTGTTCCTTTCGTTGTCACAAAAAACTGAAAATCCCAGGCGCATTTGCATTAGGGCTGCAACTAACGACTATTTTGACAGTCGATTAATCGATTATTGAAACGAATAATCAACTATTCGGGTTATGAATCGCAAAATGACACAATGCCTCTCATTTAGCTATTAGCCTTTAAATTAAACCTGAGGTTGTTTTTAGGCATGTGCTAATTAACAGTCAAGACAATAAAATAAATACTGCTATAAAAAAGGCATCTTTTAATGAATGTTTCTGCTGCAGCAACAAAAGTTTCACTGAAATCAAGTCCTGATAAGCAGCTGATCTGCTGTTTAGTGACTGAGCAGCTTTCACGCCACTACTGCAACATCCCGGGACAAACTGACACTATATACAAAGAAAGGAATAACGTTATGCATTTCATTTGCCGATTCAATAATAACTATTTTGTATTAGACAGCGTTTCACAACAAATATAGTTTCCCCTAACTCAACAACTCACAAAACTCCGTGATTTTTTTTCTTAAGGGAGTTTGAGGGGGAATAGCCGCCGCCTCACGCACAGGCCACCTGTCAGGTACCCTTGATTTCTATTTACTTGCATGTACTTCAAAATTAATTGTAATCAAACATAATCGAGCTGTAAAGGGGATATTGCATCTTTCATTCCTGTTATTAGCCTGCAGAGCTACAGATTATGGGCAGTAGACAAGGCTGTGTAATGCCAGTGGAGCCAATACATCGAAACGTAGGCATACAGTAGGCTACGCACCCTCTGGACAACCAAATTGCGCAAGTAATCACAAAGGTTTTTTCTTTTTTCTTTTTCGGTAACACAAAAGTATGTTTATTTTCTCAGTAAGTTACAGTAAAACGTAATAAGTTACTTTTTAATGGTGTTAATCGTGTAATGTAACAAGTTACTTTCAAAAGTAACATTAGCCAACACTGGTTGCCAACAGTGTGAAGTCTATTTGTAGAGAAGGACTTTCACAGTTGTCAGTAAGGTGCAAGACAAGCATAATCTGGAATTTAGCAATACATTCCTGCAGTAGCATTATTAAAGATCCCCTGCAAACGAATTTTATAACACAAAAAATACTGTGCTTTGAATAATAATGTGTGTCCGATATGGTTTCACCACAAAAAGGTTAATTTAACTACTTAAAAATCCCCAAGATTATATTTACTCCGAACAAATTTCCAGAACAAATATTACCACAGCTAACAAGTAATTAGAGGAAAACTTGTGTATTCTATGTGTGTAATGTAAATGAACAGTAACAGACCTTACAATGAAGTTATTACTGACCATTCTGGACTATTTCTAGAAAGAAAGGTGATATTGTGGTTGTGTGCTGGAGTACAGCGACTCCTAGTGGTGTAAACCTGGCTCGGCCTGCTAGTCACCCTACTCGCATGACTGACCACTTAAAACATAGCAAACCACACAAATGCATACCAGAGTGCACACACACAAACAGACCAAAATAACAGTGTCCACCCAGCTCAGAAAACTTACCAGACAAACACCACTTCTCCTGACTCATCACTGCACACACACACACACACACACACCCCGACAAAAAGCAAAGAGCTTTCATGGTTATGGCCTCTTAGCATGCCGTGAATATCACTTCTCACTGCTACAATTCTTCATTTGGACATAATGTGGAGGAATACTGTAATCTACACATAAAGGCATGCAAACACACTACATGTAGATTTGAAGAGTAGACTAACTCTTCAAAAAAACAAACAAACGATGATGGAAATCCAGGTAAAAGTTGTTATGCCTTATATATGTCTATTATCAATTCTACAGTATACTGTACCAGTTACAAAGGAGGATATGTAAATATAAGCAGCATTTAAAACTCAATTTACACACAATTTAGATGTGGCGTATGCAACATGGAATGAAACAATCCATCTGGAAGACCTAATTCTAAATGTTTTTTAAAATTCAGATCATGAACTGTTACTAAATCAATGCATATTCAAGTTCTAATCAACCAAGCTAAGCACAGAGGACCAGCTATTTAGAAAATTCCTTGTTCCAACATTTCACCACAGACTAAAGCATCATTACATATCACTCACCTTTTCAGCTTGTGATTTCAACCCCTTCTCTTAAGGACAGGCACAGTGTCTCTTGTGACAGCAAAGCCTTCACACCCTGAAGAATAAAGTGTCTGTGCCCACAGCGCATGTCCACAGTGCTGACCTGCCACCAGTTGGCTAGCTAAAAGACTAAAAACTCCACAATAGTGTCTAACTCACAAAGCCCTGTTTGTGTGTGATGTTGTTTGTCCAATAAAACAAAAAAAACAATGGCATTCCATGGCTTGCAACTGTATTCACTGCTGGCCTCTCCAAATGTAAAGTGCATTCAGACACCTTGGTTTGTGGACAAAGGCGTGAATCTGTGTCATGTGGGGTGGGCGGGCCGGGGCAAGTGGGGTGACAGCAAAGCCTATCCTGCTGTATCTCTGCCCCACAAACCCACCGGCACACGCTCGCACCTCCTGTAGGTAAAAAAAAGAGTAGTCAGAAAGCACACTTACCTGATTTTGTCCGCTGCACTGTCAGATCTGCAGGAGTAGAGAGGGGAGAGAAGTTGTTATCATTACTACTGATATGAAGGATTTCTACATTTCTACATACAAATTAACATTTCATACATTTGTTAAAATGCACTGTAAGGATTTTTATGTAATTATATATAAATACGTTATATAGTCTTATCAAGTATTCATTAAAGCTGGAGTGTGGTACTTTACACTTTACACATATAAATTAACTTCTTTTACATTCAAGCCCTTGCCAAATGAGTTCATACATAACCGCCAGGTAAATCTCTCTATGTTTTGCGCTATACTGGAGTTTTTAAATCTGGTGTCTGTGGTGACATTCCTTATGTGGGGCACCAGTGATGCATTTTACATCAACCGGCAATGATTTACGAGCAGGGTTGGGTAAGAAGGTAACGACACAGCAAACTGCAGCACCTGCAGTAAGGATGTTTCGTGCAAGGGAGGAAGCAGCTCCAATTCGATGAAACACTTACTTCAACACAGCGTGAATCTGAAGGAATGCACCATGTTCAATGTGTTGCGGTTTCCCAGCCACAGTATACAGTCCCAGATACAGCTAACGCTAACAGTAGCTACATCATCATGACCAGTTACAAAACAGTGATTAGCTGTTATTCACCTTTTATGCTGAAGGTAAACGAATGCCGTCAACAAATTATTCCAATACATATTTTTCTTAGATACGAGTTCTCAGTGACACCCCTCTAGTACAGAAAATAAACTGGGGAAAAGGGAAAGAATGAATGTCAAAGAGTGGTGACAAGATTCGTAGTGAAGGGGTTGGAATCAGAACTGAGACTCAATAAGATATTGGATTAGATAAAGAAAATCAGAATCAGAATAGATCAAATTGACATGATATCAAACCCTATTTGCGAAGGGCAACTCAGAGCCATGTAGAGAGCTCCACGGTGCACCGTTGCTGTAAAAAACGTTTATTATTGAGAATTGTATATTTAGTTTTTTTTAATTCATTATGATGCGTGCGGCGGAAAAACCTAAGAAGCGTCCAAGACAAGTTTCTGATTATTGTCTTGCTTTGTAATTGTTTGTGTGATTCCTCACTGCCAGGGGAGACAAAAGTTTTACACTGCAAATTTAACTGTTCATAATCCAGTTATGGATGCTTAATCGGAGGAATTATAACCATTATAAAATACTTTGAAAGTACTTAAAAATGTCCTTAAATCTGCTAATAATTATATTGTCTGCTTACAATTATATTGTAGAGTTTTATCCATTAGTGTTATTACACCTGCTATTATACAGCCTACTATCACCTTAAGAATATATCAAGAATTAAAGAATATCAAAATTCACAAAAACGCCAGTAGGCTCGACTATTGTAATGCTGCCTTTATACACCTCTCTAAAAAGTTGAACAGACACCTGCAGCTGATTTACAGGAAAGTGGATCACCTTACTCCAGTTCTACACTGGCTTCCGGTTAGTCAAAGAATGTAATCTGAAATACTGCTGTTGGCTTGTAAAGCATTGAAGTGTATAGGGCCAAAATACATTTCAGCCTTGTGCTTCTTTTATATCTCGTCTTAATGCCTTTTATGTGTTATGTAAAGCACTTTGTACATTGTTGTTGAAAGGTGCTATACAAATACACTCGCCTTGCTTTGCTTACACCTGCTAAATAGGGAGGGGTTAAGGTTCAGTGTCACATGGCTTTAACAGTTAAATATTGCAATTTCACTGTAGCTACATAAATACATACTCAATACTATAAAGTGAAAGATGGCATGTCCAGCAGTGTGTAATCTTGATTCACAACTCACAATCATGTGCTGCGTCATCTTCACTGATGAGTCATTTTACACCATCTCAGCAAAGTCACATTGTGATATTATATAACTATCTGCAGTTAGAGTGGAGGTAAACTCGGCAGAAGCCTCAGATGCAAATACACAAAAATGACTTCTCCTCGTGTCATTTCCCAGATTTCATCAGTGTCTCTCCCCGAACCACCACGGACGCCCCGATAAGCTGGCACAGGCAGCTACAAATCACAGCTAGTAATACTAATTAGCTGGAAAATATGTGCAGCTGCACATAGCACACTGAGCAAACCGCAGCACACAAGACAAACAGACAGATGCAGTAAGAGCAAAACAAGGCTGACGGACACGGAGACGGCAAGACAGGTAGAGAGGCAGCGGTGCAGCCTCCAGGCAGAAACGCAGCTGTTTTTACCTGCAGAGGAGACATGACATTCCGTGCCCTCTAAAGCCGGCTACAGAACGCTGCTCTCCCTGCAGCTGCTGCAGACGCCCCTCACTAGCTATCACCAGCACAGCACACAGAAGAGCAGCGAGAAATCCCATAGGTTTGACAGGTACTGTTCCTAATTTGAGCAAGTGGCGGCACTGAGCGAGAAGAGCGCGCGGAAGGGAGAGCCAGAGAGAGAAACATGGGGAAGAGTGCAGGACAGAGCGAAAGAGTGGAGGTGTAGTGAACGGTAGACAGAGCAGAAGGCAAAGGCAGTTAAGTGGGTGGATATTACGAGGCTAGACGAAGAGGATTCCTACACACTTTCTGTTTCAGAATTCAGAACATTCTAATGTACTTAAAAAATAAAAAAATAAAGTAGGTATTGCAACATTATTAACACCTGTATGATGACAAAATCAGCAGCAGCGTCTTCTCTGTGCAGCAGTGACTAAGTACAGGAATAATCACTGGATCACATTCTTTTAATTATTGGATACATTACGTTGTTATGTTTTGTTGATACTAAAAAAACTAATTTTGCATCACCAAGTTTAGTCAGAGTAACAGAAACCATGATGTATTCTTGTATTTTCTTGCCTTGTGTTTTTCTTTTGTAAGAAGGCTTTATGACTTTAAACTACCCTGCTAGTTCTACAGAACAATAAATGATCAAGCTCAATACCGTTGCCAAGAGCTGAAAGGCGTCACATTTGGCTGAAGCTTGGTGTAGAGATTTGATTTAGTCAAAATAAATTTGACTGCGTTTCTGTGCTGGTGGTAAAATCTAACATCTGGGATCGTTATGTCAACTGCTAAACAACATTACTCCAAGAACCATCTTGCTAGAAAAATAACACGACACAAATGAATAATAGACCACAATCAGGACTGTATATTTAACAGACTGACATGCTTCTTCCTGTTTTTCGTTTTTCACCTTCACAGAAACCTGAAAATCTGGTTGTAGGACAAGCATGAAGAGAGACCCCTGCATCAGTGCAATGCACTTTTCACTATTTTGCTCTGCATACCGTGTTTAAGACCAAAAACCCAACATTCAGTAAAGCAGATAGCTCTACTTTCATGATACATCCTCTTCCTAATGTCTTAGTAGGAAAGAAATCACTTACAGAGTTTTCTCCTCACTGCATGGCTTTACTTTAGGGATAAAGTATGAAACAACATCTCACACACACACACACACACACACACACACACAAACACGGTCCGGTTCAATAACTGATTTAATGTCCAGGCCTGTCACTGGGGCTCCTGTGACAACTGCAGCATATTCCAAGGTGATAAAGAGCTAATGATACTGCCTGTCTCTCAACTCAAACTGAGCTATGGAGAAGTACAGACAACAATTACTGCAGGCATTGTATGGGTACTGTTAATTTTTGACAATATGCTTTTGAAGTCAAGAGCACAACCTCTATCCTCTTTTGGAGTCCTCATATCACTGAGGTTACTGCATTTTCACAGAACACCCCTCTTCTGTACTTCCGAGGCAGAACTAGGACAGGAAAGGAACACGAAGAAAGCACAGAAACACATACAGCCGTAACAAAGACAAAAGCTGTAACAAAGACAAAAAAAGTAAATTAATAGCCACAATGAAACAGACAGAAGCAGGTTATGTAGCAATGCCTTTGTGAAGCAGTATAAAGAGGAAGTGTGCCCTAGGAATACCCTGACATTTTGAGTTGATTACTATTCTCAGTATCATAATTCAACACGTGACCTGGTGGACTAGACAGACACAAACTCTGCTGTGTGTGCACTGACTTACCCTTGAATTCACTGTAATATAAAAATAAGAACAATTGAACAGTATCAGCATATAGTTACATACAGTTTACTGAATGCCCAACAGGAAGAATGAGGCCCATACAGAGGCAGCACACACACATACGTGCGCACGTGTACACACATACACACACACACACACACACACCGCTCACCTCTCCTCTCGGATTAATGGAGTCAAGAAGCGACTGTTGTCATCTTCATGGCTGCTCTGCAGGCTGCTCTGCTGGCTGCTGCACGGCACATAAAAGAGAGGTGAGGTTGTCAATCATTACGGCATGGGTGTATTAAATTGAAATCTAAATTTTATGATGTAATGCATTTCATCTTGTGTTATGTCAGAAAAAGTAACCCCAACGTAATTAGTTACTATGTCCATTGCCATTTGCCCCTGCAACACTTGGTGAAAAGCATAAAGAAAAAAAAAGCATGGCATAAATAGACCCTTATGTGTAAACTCAACAGGTCATTTTTGACGTTACATTTATTTTCAGCTGCACTACGTTATCTAAGGCCCTGCGGGGCAAACTTGTCACATTTTCAGTCACAATTTCAAATCTATTGCGGCTGAGCCTTATGTCAGCTGTCCAACATCCTGCAAATTAAGTATCAAATATATATGGCTACTGTCAAATACATACATACAGTAATTTGGATAATGGTAGAAATCCTGTCTCGTACATGCACATATCCAGTGATAACACTAGATGGTGCTATATGACATGGGCTATGCAAAAGGTAGGCCTTCTGATAATAAGTAATGTGGTTAGAGATGTGAATATCTATATCTATTTATTTTTTTCAAAGATTTTGCTGTCATTCTTCCCACATTTTGATATCCAAGAATAAAGCCGGTCTGTTGGGAAAAGTCTTAATTAATTCACACTAACTCTGCAGGGTGCCCCAATCCCCTTCCAACAGCACCAATGTTCTACACAGGGCTGGAGGGGATGCTGGAATGTATGAAAAAGCAGAAATGAGAGCAGAGATACTTTCGGCATACTGTAGATGTACAAACTAAAGGAGCCATTACCCAATCACTGAATTTTGTAAATGTTATTTTTCTTAGAATAAGTGAAATAATATAAAAAAAATATCATATTAAGTCAACTTTAAAAAGTCTTTCATACTGTAGATGAGTGGCATGCAGTTAAAGATATTAAGTTTAGGAAAAAAAAAAAAACTTTAGACGGTCCAAATTTTAAATTCAGCATACAGCACCATTCAAGAAGTTGAGCAGATGCGATATATACTGTAGATATAGAATTTCTTTTGGGGGGGGGGGATATCACTTTAGCTCGACTCCCTCATATCTTAGCTCAAGGCTCCTCTGCAGCTGGTGTGTTGTCCCTGCAAGCTGTTCTCTCAGAGGACAGACATATGTGCTGTAAAAGCAGATGTGTCTGTTCGGGTTTATGCAAGTGTTTATACTTGTATCCCTGTCGTTTAGTGCATGTTCATCTGAAATCGCGAGGACAGCATGGCATGTGCCCTTCCTGGATTATTCATTACTCATATACAATTAATGGAATATGTGCTTTGAACATGATAGCAATGACGTCTTTTAAGATAGAGCTGCAAAGGCAATCATCTACAGTACACAGTAAAACTACACAGTGCAGGTAACAATGCTTCATGTTGTATTATTTTCCAACATCTAATGCACAACAACTTCAGTGAGAACACTCGCAGGATCCAACCCACTTATTTTATAAGTATGATTCAAATCTGATTAATTTTTGATTATGTTTAAGCATCTCATTATCTTAGCCACATGGTCTTTGGTGTTAATATATTGAAAGAATTAATTTGACTGTAGTTGAAAAACAAAACTTGATGTGATGGTTTACAGATTTCATTTATTTATGGCCAACATAAAAGTAAAACTGCTGAAGAATTGTGAAGTTATTTCAGTGAATTTTCATCATCTTATTGACTGCTGCGATGAAGCAATTTGAAGAACTGGCCGACGCATTAACATTTTTTCTAATGGTAACTTTGTGAGAGGTTGTGTGTCTGAAATATTTAAATGCTTTGGCAAGGTGGAAGCAGTGAAGCCTGTTGAAAGAGACTGTATCACTGCCTCAAAATAGCCCTGCTCTTATCAGCCTGCAGAACAGAAGATTCCACTGTGTCTGCAAGCCTCCACTGTTCTCAGACGCACAATCACATACACCTACAGTCCACACATCCCATGCATCACAGAAAGGAAGACAGAAACAAGGCTAGAATGATGTGATTGAGATGCTAGAGTGAAAAATGTAACTAAACAAACAACAGTATTGACTAACACTAGGGTTTGACAAAGACTGATTGAGTGACCAGAGACCAAGCGCCACTTTGATGTCAGAGCAGATTGAAGGCAATGAAATCTTCTCATGATTTTATGCACCATCAGAAAAACTTTATGGATTTAAACCAATCTGAGTGGAAAACAGCATCATGTTCCATCTCAGTGAAGGAAAGCTGAAGCTGAATCAGAAAACTGCATGCCATCAAGTATTTTAAATAATTGGCCAGACTCAAAGCAACTCGCACTGCTTTAAATCATTTGAGTTCTGACCACCTTTAATCATGACTGTATATCTTAAAGACAACACAGAAGCCCTGATGTACTATACTGAGTTTTAAATCTCTTCTTATATTTTGAATACTTACAGTATTTTAACTGCGTCCATGAGCAGAAGAGCATTACACGGGTCACACTACACCAGACACCATTAACAGACCACAAGTATTCTATTACCTATAAATGCTCTGCCATGTTTGTATATTAACAGGGCAATGTCAGCAGGTTTCAGGCCACAAACCCTGCCTTAGTGCTTGACTAGATTAACTAAAAAAAAATAATTGTAGTTCACACTCCCAAAGCAAGTAAAGACAAGTAATGTTCTAAGTCGCATAATGATAATAATGACAAACTGAATTTCCTAGGTTATTTTACCCAGCCACATATTAACTTCTCAGCTAAGGAAGTCCGAAAGATAATTCAGAGGATCAAAGTGCTGGGCAGCCAAGAGTGTCATCCTTGCTGTAGGTAAAAGTCCAGTGTTTTGCTAATGGAGTGGAATTTATAAAATGCTACAGGTAGAAACAATGAAAAAAATAAAATTGAATTACATTGGTTTGACACAGAAAACAGTGAAATTTAAGACTCAATCCCAAGGTCAAAACTTTTAAATGGTTTTCCATTTGATACTTTTGATAGACTAACCATCAGACGTAAATTGATATGAATACAGTACATCACAGAAGTGTGTCCTGCTGAGAGTTAATATTAAAACAAAATGGTTTTACAGCACAAACTGGGGACAAAGTACATACTGTATTTTACTCTACTTCTGCACTTAAATCCAAATACTAGATGTTCTGCTTTTCCTTCAGTAAAATTTTTAATTAATTTTGTTTTTGTTTCTCCACTAAATACATCTTACAGCTATTACGAGCAGATTTGTACATTCATATTTTAGCTAAAAACTCTTAGCTGTTTTTAAAAGTTTTGCACTTGCAAGTTTAAATTCCCATTTTTTCAGAACAAAGCTTTATAATAAGAACTCTTGTGTTAACGCTGATGCGGTGTTGCATTGATTTAGCCTCCTCCACTTGGTATAGCTGTTTGACAGACCTGCATGTCTGCAATTTCTGCAACTATTGAGGTCTGCTCCAACTCCTAGCTTTTGTACAGTTAGTCTTAAAGCTTTTCTGATGGTACTGCCTGCTATTATGTTAAATTGTTAACTGTAAATGTAGGCTATAACTGCACTACATTTCTTATTCCCGGTTTCATACCATTTTAGCTTATTTAGCATTCTGTATTATAGCAAGCACTTTACTTTGATTTGCTGTTGAAAGGTACTTTACATTTAAACTTGCTTTGCCTTGCATTGCTGCAGGTGCAGCTCATGTTAGAACAACAGGAGCTGAGCCTTCAGCTAGCAGGCTCCTGTTTACCTTCGTCCATAGATAACCATGCTCCAGACACTGCATGGCTACAACACCAGAGCCAACGTGCAGTGCCTCAACTAAATAAGGAAGCCAGAAAGATCTATTTTATTATTACTAATATTTATAATGGTGCTAATATGGGGTTTTTAAAAACTCCAAAATGAAAAAGTAAAAACAAAAAACTGCCCACAAAGCAGAAATAGTAATGTGATTTGATAGAAAATATATAGCACACTGCAACTACAACTTTACATGGTAAAACCAGCTGCTTAATCAATAATTAAGTGAAGATAAACATTACAATCTGGATTATTTATGTCACTCCCTCACTGCTTGACACCTTTAACATTTTTTATATACTACATGCAGCTAGTAACAAGCAGCAGATTGAGGTGGAGCCATGTTGTCACAGGATGGTATTAAGTCTATAGGAACTCTTGTTAGAACAGTGCTCATTAGAAACTGAGTGGGACCCAGGCTGCACTCGAGATGTGCTGGATAATGACTATTATACACTCATGGATACTGTCGAGGTTATGCACTCATGCCTTTGGAGAGAGGCTGTCTTCAACTCAGAGAAAGGTCAAACACATTGATGGAGTGAGAGAACCTGTCTGCCAGCTGTTACCCGTGATAATGCTTAGTATACTGCAGTGACAGAAGAGAAATAACTACCAGACATTCAACTTATCATCTCAAAGAATTACACCTGTATCGACTGACACTAGTTCTATGTCCCAAAAATGAAAAATAAATAAATAAAGTGGGCCACGACTGATGAACTTTTCCATGAGTACAATGAAGCAAGCAGAAGGTTTAACACTGACATTTGTGTATTGTATGAAATGAAAAAATCCTGTGGTTGACTTTATTTTTCCACGACTTAACAGCAACTCAATGACGTCTCTAAGGTGCATTATCTTGTGGCACAGGGACAGCCCCAAACTCTCAGATAAAATAACAATCATGACTTCATTTATTCCCAAACGCAAACATACAATACACATGCTCTAGTGAAATTAATCTTAAAAAGTTTTGATCTAATATCTAATATTGATTTGGTATACTCATCAGATTATCTTATTACTACAAAGAGTTCTGCACATAAATTAAATAGAGCCATAAATAAAGATTTGTAGGGCTTAAATGAAATCTTTGTTTAAAGAAGAGTATATCCCTGATTGTAATTAAGTCTGGGCGGTATAATGAGGTACACCAATATAAAATTAGATAATACCGTCTATAGTTTGATGTTGAGTTAATTAATATGTTTCTGTAAAGTCCTTCCAGCGTTTGCTCCTCTCTTTCTCTCCCTCCCCCTGCATCCCAGCCATCTATCCACAACTCTCAACAACATGGAGGGAAAAAGACCTGGCTTGTAAAAAGAAAAAAAAAAACAACGGTTCAGTATTTCCCCACACATTCACTTTCCTCGGCGGGCAGCCCTGGTTAGGTGACACATTGTAGCATTTATCAGAGAAACACAGAGTCATTACGTTACAAGCAGCGACACGGTGGATATTTTACAAGAGCGGACCAAGTGACAGTGAACACACCAGTCAGATGTCATTCGTTAGCTACCACGTTGGTTTTGTTTTGATGGGCTACGTCATCAACACGCCTCCTCAACATGCGGCGCCGCTGCAGGTGGAAGAAAGTCGGCGTCTTCATACAATGTAGCCTACTGATGGAGAAAGCCACCGGATCAGACATAGATGGAAAGAAGCGGGGCACGCTGACGTGTTTGGAGCAGACAATGATAGGTCTGTGAGTGTGAAGAGAACTGAAGGAGGCAGATTCAATAAGTGAGTGACACTTATGATGGAAAATCAAGTATAATTACAATGGTGAAATAAGATACAAGCTAAGTTACTACAAATAGAAAAAACATGGCCGCTAAAACTGACACCCCCGCCCTGCCTACTTAGCAGAACATACCGATATATTTTATACTGGAACTTTACCTAGCAGTACCGGCATATGACTCTTTGGTCCATATCGCCCAGCCCTAATTGTAATTAGACTTAATAATTATTATTGCAGAATTATTCCTACCTTTCATCTTGTGTTTTTATTTTAACTACTAACTTCCAATTAGCATAAGCTCATTCAACATGTTTTAGTGAGGAAGGTCACTTTACTTAAACTGTTAAAATACTTCAACTTTGAAGGGGCCGATTTAATTTACTGGCCTTTAATGACCTTTCCTCTAGCGCCACCATCACACACACTGTATTCTCAGATGTCAGATATCTCACAACTATGCATCCAAAAGGACAAAACCTAATGATTTTATAAACCCCTCAACCTTTCCTCTAGTACTGTTGCTAGGCCAACCTTTTAAGTTTCAAATGACCCTACCGTATCTCTGTTTTTAACACTCACAAGAGGAAGCAATCTGCAAGCAAGTTTTGGGCATTCTGTCCATTCTTGTTGACAAGTGTAACAATCAGTGCCATTAATTATTGTTTTAGCAGCTCATGTGTGTGAACTACACATCTCTTGTAAGTGTAGCCTAAACCTATGTTGTGCCTGCATGGGTTGATCTCACCTTCAGTAACCCCACACTTGCAGAGTCATCAAAAAATAAAAAGAATATTTTTTAAAAAATGTACTCAAAAAACATGCTACAACACTATACTGGAAAAAATACGTATACAGATGCATACCTATACAACAAAAAAAAATCACTGCTGAGTTGTTACAAGCAAATGAAAACAACAGTTATACAAAGTGAGAAGACTCACAAGAACTTTATTGTCAACCCGTCCATATACAAGTACATAGCAGGGATGACATATTAATTTTCTAGGGCCAATGGTGGCTACATTTAATATAAAACAAATGCATGCTGGGCTTCAGATTCAACCTAAGAATCTTTAGAAACCTGAAAAACCCTTACTGTAACCACCTCTTGTATTAAATTGTGTGTGGCCATTAAGCGGCTTGCTTAACTCTGAAGGGTGAAAAGAAACCTCAAGCTAAACAGAAGTCTAATTGTTCAACTAAATACCTGAGTAGAAACAATTTAACTCTCTTTCAGTTAGTGATACAACACATTAGTGCTGGTAGCAGGAGATTTGAAGCAGCATGGAGCTATTAGGGAAGATGTGGGGAGAAGAAGGGGAATAGGGAGAGGTGAGCAGGGAGGGCCCATACCAACCTGCTCTCACTGACTTGCTCCTTCCTCTCTCGGACCTTCAGCCACTTCCTCAACAGGAAACGCTTACGGCGCGGAGAGGCGCTGGGTGTGGAGCAGCGCGACCAGGATGAAGGGGCGTCTTCGTCGCTGGATGGCGTGATCTCAATGGAAGGCAGCTGGAGGTACTCCTTGGAGCCTGAGCGGGATCGGGCCGTAAGGTGACCGACAGTTAGCCGCCCCCTTTCGTTCTCCTTCTCGCTGGGCACGTTCCTCATGCGCCGCATTTTGAAGCGCTTACGGCGGAGCGTCGGAGTTGAGGAGCTGGATCGCATGGAGCCATCTGACACGGCGTTGCTTCCTCCGTCTGAGTATGCCGGGGCATCGTTTGGGACGCTCACCTGGAGCGAAGGGGGTCTAAGAGTGTCACTCATGGTCCTGACTAGTTTTCTAAAATGCAAATACAACCCCTAAAGCACTTCTTTTTTTAGATCCTTGGTTACAAGAATAGCAAACTCTGCAGTTTTAAAGCTTGAAGGGCTCTTAGCTACAGAAAGGTTGAGGTTTAGTGCTGAACAGATGAGGCACAGTTTAGATTCCTAACAATCTTTGGTGGACCTTGGTCCCCTCAGTTCCTGTTGTTTATTTTAAAGCCCTCTCCACGTGCCAGCCAATGGATTGAAAGACTTGCTGAGAAGTACTGATAGCAGATGTCTTGGGCCTGACCAAGTCCTTCTCCTGCTCCTAAGCTGTTGGTTGATATGTATCAGTTCAGTGGCTGACTGACAGACTGTGAAGAGCAGTCCAGTGGCAGTAAACTCAGTCTCTCTGGCTGGGTAGAAGAGGGCTGGATTAGATAACAAAGAGGGCTTCTGTTCTGAGACCAGCAGATGAAACATGTATAAGGCCTGTCAGGGAGTGTAACACAAGTCCTTTGCTGGTCCTCCCCAGGGACTGGCAGGCCAAGTTACACACACACACACACACACACACACACACACACACACACACACACACACACACTTATACATTGGCTACAGCCCAAGCTTCCAAAGCTGTTACCTTAGCTGCTGTTGCTAATGCTAAAGAGGAAGGCACCGACCGTCAGCCCTTGAATATTGATGCTGATCATGTGTGTCAAGGTGTGGAGGCTGTACGTGGTCACTTTGTGCTCATTTTAAAGTTGCTGCAGCAGAGGAAGACACTGTCTGATCTGGGTTGTGCCCATGCTGGTGGATGCCGAGGTCCGTCTTGTGCCAGTCAGTGTGTAGCTGTCTCCTATAGGTTAGAGGGAGGTGATAGGACTGCAAGGTACAGGCAAGGCTAAAGGTGATGATGAAGTAGCAGCCCCCCTCCCCACACACACACACACACACACACAATCAAAAAGGCAGGCATAGTGTACAGGAACACACACAGTCAGATACCATGAAAACCAATCACAAGTAACAAGCAGCACTTCTGATGGGATGCACACACACACAAACACACTCACACATGGCCAAATTCTGATCTATTAAACGTACCTATCCACCACCAAGCAGCAGCCCAAGTTTATCAATCTATAACACTTGTCTTCCCTAAAATGGCATTAGGTACCTCAAAGACCTTTAAATGGTCTGTTCATTTCGACAAACAAAATCAGAGATAACAGAAAACATCAATAGATCACTGCCACTGTACACAATAGATATCCAAGTGGTGACTACCTACTCTATAGCTTCAAGGGCAACCATGGTGAGGACTAGAGCTGCAATGATTAATCAGTTAGTTGTCAAATGTTAAATTAATGGGATTCATTTAGATAACTGATGAATTGGTTTAAGTATTTTTAAAAGAAATGAAGTAAAGATTATCTGATTCCAGCGTCTTAAATGTGAATATTTTCTGGTTTATTTACTCCCCGATGACAGTACACCAAACATATTTGAGTTGTGGACAAAACAAGACATTTGAGGACGTCGTCGTGGCCCACAAAAAACAGTCATTGATATTTTTCACTATTTTCTCACATTTTGTAGACCAAACAACTAATCGATTAATCGTTACAATAATCCACAGATCATCCATCTCCAGAGCGCTAGAGAGGACATTTGCTTACAAATCCGAAAACAAAAGAACCCTCTCACCAAATGTTTGACCTTGATTAAAGAGCCAATGTGCTGACTGTCTGTTTAATGATAAACCTTGCTGAATGTGTGCCAAGATTACACACGCCATTTGTGCAGGTGCAGCTGGCAAGGAAACTTAAGAAAAATAAAATAAGATGGGGCATGGTAGAAACCATTACACAGCAAGCAGTCAAGAGCTGAGTGGAAGCCTTGTGGGAGATCTGCATCAAAATAATGCAGTCAATAGTAAAGACAACCATTTACATTGTTCTCATCGCCTCCGCCAATAACACCACCTGAATAATTGCTCTGCACATATGGCTTTCTCAGCTGGGCATCTATGAGATGAGAAACACATAGCAAGGGGACCTGTTATGTGCCTACTGAGACAAAAGAGAGAGCATGCACTGTTGGCACAGAAATATTATATATAACCTAATGGTACCATGTAGAACTACTACTAATGATTTAATCTCCAATAACATAAATCAAATTACAACTAGTCAATAAACTGACTATAAAGGTTGTCTAAGGTAGAGTATACAAAGTTTCAATCTGGCCTAAAGGTTACCACAGGATGTGTTCGAGGCCTTACAGAGGAGGTAATATATTTGCTGTAGAAGCTGGTATTGATTTAGAAGATCAGATGATCAGATCGTTTCAATCTGAACGAATATGGTCTCTACTGTAAATCTAAGCTTTGACGCTGCTCTGACTCACAGTGGAACTAGGGCAGGGCAATAAAACAACAACGATAATTATTGCAATATAATTTTCCTCAATAACAATATAATAAATGTTCAATATATCGTCAATAAATATTTGGTTTAATTCATTTGAATTACGGACAAATTAGCACTTAATTTTTCGATTAAAATATTTATTTTGTTGAGGAAAAGGGACTGAAAAAATAATTACTAATCATATTTGTTGAAAAAGATTTTATTGCAATAGTTTTTAAAGTTCTACCTCAAATTTGTGAAGTGATCCACTGTGTGGCATCAAGTGTTTGTCACGTTCTGACCATAAAGAAAAGTTTAAACCACATAACCTTCTGGTTTCTTCAATTTTCACTCAGGAGCAAAAAACAGCCTTTAAACTTGAAAGAAATAATGATTTAGCATATATCAGGATAATTATCGATATCGAATGATATGAAATGTTTTTATGGTGATAACATTTTTGGCCATATCGCCCGGCCCAAAGTGGAACACCACCATGCAATAATCGAGCCTAGAGCAAGTGAAAGTATGAAAAGCCTTTTCTTAAATGGGACAAATGAGAAAAGGCCTGATTTTAGAGACCATCCAGGAGACTTAACAGAAGTGGGATTAGACAACAGCAATGCAGAAGTTAATGTGGGGCCAAGACAAAAATTACTCCAAGCTTTCTGGAAGAGGGGTTTAACATAGCAGCCAAGGAGCTTATGTGATTATAAAACTCATATCTCCCATCCTGAAACTTGAACTTTAAAAATAGATTTAAGGAACGCTGAAATATGATAAGACATAAATAACTTTCATTAATGTCTGTGTCCTGAAAAAATAAACTGCCCTTCATATGGCGTCATACAACATTTAACCTGTATCATTGTGACAGACAGGTTCAACTGCGTATTGCAAAATCAATACTATGGTTTTTAAAGAAGAATGACCGGGATCTGCCTTGCAGCTTCTAGAAATTGCAAGGACATAACTTTTTCAATGACTTTAAAAGGAAAGGTAATTTCAAGATGGGCCCATATTTATCCAAGTAATAGCTATGTACTCGTGAGAAAAATGGCTTGTATTATAATTAGACAAGCAGTGAGAGACAGATCATGCCCCCTTTTCTACCAATCATTTTAAGGAACTATAGATAAAATAGCAAACATTGCTATCAGTATAATAGAGATAGAGACTCCCTTTGGATTTCCCCAGCACGGATTCATTCACAAATATTTGACTTAACACAATTGGGCTGTTTAGAGGTCAATGCTAAAAGGCAAGAACTGTGCAATTCAGTCTGCAAATTCCCATTCTTGGTGAAATATAATATTTTACAACTTCTTTGCGTGTTTTTATTTCACTCAGTGCAGGAACAAATTTTTTTTTTTAAAGTTAGAATATTTAAGAAATAAAACATCACTACGTCTATCAGATAGGTTACTACTTGACTTATCTGCATATTCTTTATTGAGTGAAATTCTACTATAATTACAGTTAATCTAAATGCATGTTTTAAATGTTTTGTAAAGTTTTTGTTAATAAAAAAGAACGATCATAAGGATTTAACATGACAGCTGACTTGTTTTAAAGAATATGCATTTATCTAATACAAATATCAAACTAATGATGTCCTTGTATGTTACAAATCATTGATGCATGATAGATAATAATAATTTTTTTTTCCATTTAAATATGATTTATTCCACTTGCATTGTTAAATCGTCATGAATAGGTGTTATCAATGCATTAGTGAAATGCCTTCAGACTGTATGAGCTAAGGGATAGATGAAGTAGTAAACAAAAAAAGAAGCAGCATTGTTTATGTTCCAAATAAACATGTGCTATGTGAGTTTCTAAGCGAATGCACAAACACACACTCTGACCTGGAGTGTGGAAGTGGGGGAACATCATGCATTAATCATGGCAAGACAACGTTTCCCGTTACAGTTTCACACTTTCTAGTAGCCTCAGGTTGTGCTCTGGCCTCGCTGGGCTGAACTCAGGTGAGCAGGTGATGTCAGCCTTGAGCATATGGGCATGGCTGAGAGTGTAGTTAACGAATGTTGTTTAAAGCAACTGCCATGATTTTGATGTGTTGATATTTTTAGATCTGCAATTTTCTCAAAGAAAAGAGAAACACCATGTAATACTGCTCGCTGCTAGCTGGAGAGCGTGTTGATACACCTGTGGGGTGTAAGTACACTATAATAATATAAAAAAATAGAGTGCACAGCAGGAAGGACTCGAATGGTCTAGCCATCTTGTGTCTCAGTGCCTTGTGCACTTTGCCATGCATACATTATTGGAGTCAACAGATGGACCTACCATGGAGAAGATTTGCTGTTACAGCTGAGACAGAGATCACAGTTTTCCATCACCGTGATGGCTTCACAGCAAAGAACAACCATGTGATTGCTTGTTTTTTCACGCGTCATTACTGACCATCAAAGTTCAGCTCTATTGTTCCCTGCTTCTCTATTCTTAGCGCTGTGTCCCTGTCAGCACAATGTCAAAGACTGTGGGTAGATTACAGAGGCATGCTGATGCTGATTAAACTAACACTTATGAAAATACATGCCCAATAAAGTGTTCTGATTAGTCAAATGAATTATTTACAAGGGCACAAAATATAGATCATCTGAGGAGTGGGAAATCTCTGTCACGGTGTATTAAGTCTGAAGGAAAAACTAACTAAAATGAAGAGGCTGCTGCAACAATCCTGTTTGGTATAGGAGGGTGCATGTTTAGTTTATTCAGTATTGAGAAAACATATGCAGAGATATTGAGGAAATTATGGACAGAGTGCTGCTGGTAGCTGAATTAGAGGTTTAGCGTTGGCATCTCATGACCACCGAGTAAAAGACAGAAGTGCCAAAGGCAACTGGGGCCCAGAACTATGTCTTCTCTATGAGCTCAAGATTCAAACTTTAATACCACCAAGAGCAGTTTTGAAGTTTCTTTGGTGGCACCAAATTAATAGGTCAATTACACATTTTTTAATGTTTTATGATATTTGTTATTTTGGCAAATAAACAAAGCATGCAAGAAATAAAGAGAAATTTGATGTGTGGCATATGTAAACCTTCATGTAACAAAGTTGCTATTTTCAAATTGAATGACCAAAAAAAATAGAACATAAATAATATTTCACATCAAAAATTTATACCCTGCCTCCGAGTAATGTCTTTCTCACAGGCATGATGCTACTGATGTGGCACGATGTGGAGTCCATACTAAACAACCCGCTCCCCATATAAAGCCTTCTCGGTGAGCAATTACTCATTCATGTAGGAGTGCATCATGCAACACAACAGGATGACATCATGTTATAATGGCAGTAGGGTGATGGGAGAATATTACACGGACTGTGAAGCTATGATGAGATTATAAACTGTGCTCACGTAACACTGCATTATTTTACCTTTTTCCCCTCCCCTGCACTAATCTACTGTATAAATCT